CTAATATTTACATTCTCAAACTCAAAAGAAAAAGGGTCTCCAGCGACTAGCTGAGCTTTAATATCTCGAACTTGCGAGAGGGCTTCTATAGCCATCGCCATGTATGCTGCGCCTGGCAGGACAACCTGCGACTCGCCGAGCTTGTGATCACGTAGCCATGGCATCTCGGACATACGAGGGATGTTGCGCCAGCACCACTCAATGCCGTTGCCAGCAGTGGCCCGAGTCCCAAGGAGCTCGTGACGCACATGCTTCCGAAGACGATGCTCAACGCTGGCACGAGGCTCATGCCATGGCAGAGGCTTAGAATAATCCCAGGGATAAGAGGCGAGCGGTGGAGTAGGCAGCGCACGATATCGCGGGACATTGTTGATAGCGTACCAATCCAAGTTGTGACCATAGGAAAAGAGAGTACCCGCGAGCTTCTTTAAGCAGACGTAAGCATTCTCTTTTCTGACAAGTGTGGGAGAGTAGGGAATGGTATCTTTGTCGAGCTTGGCACTGGTTCGGATCTGTTGAATAGGACCTTTGAGAGCCGAATGGGGGCCAACTTCGATCAAGTGATATTTGTTACTGGTGATCATGTTGGTTAAGCCCGCGCTGAACTGAACTGGCTGCTCAAGGTTCTTCCGGAAATACGCTGCCATGTTTGTAGAAAGGTCAATAGTGCCAAGGGCATCAACTGAATGGCCAACAGTTGAGAACATCTTGGCTTCCATTTCATCGACCGTCTTGCTGGTGAAGTAAGGAGTAACCAGTGACTCGTATAAATCACCAATCTCAGCCATCATGTGGGAGTGGTAAGCACGGCCACCAGTTTCAAGCTTGCGAACAAATCTGCCCTCTTTTTGTAACTCAGCTTGAAGGGTATCAATGTCCTTGGCAGTGCCACTCAGAGTAACACTCTCAGGAGCATTTACACAAGCAACTCGCACTTCTTTCAGTCCAAGCTGCCCAATCAAGACGTTAGCACTATCCGGGGCGATTCCCACTGCCATCATGGTGCCGCGAGATTGTAGCTGGCCCACAGCAAAGCCTCGGAAATAGGCTGCTAGGATGGCCTCGGACGAAGTAAGTAGGCCGGCTGCGTAAGCTGCAGCAATCTCTCCAGAGGAGTGGCCAATAACAGCCGATGGGCCAACGCCCCAGCTTCGCAGTATATTGACAAGAGTAATCTGGATAGCTGTGCAAATTGGCTGGCTATGGGTAACATCGTTGATCTTGCTTGTAGCAGGCTTATCGAGAATTGTTTGCTCTAAAGTCCAAGATGGCTTGTATTCAGATGGCAGCCCCTGCAAAACCTCGTCGAGATCCCTAATGCTGGCTAGGAAGCCAAAATCTTGTTCAATGAGCTCTTTGGCCATGTTGGCATACTGTGCACCCTGGCCGGTGAAGACAAAGGCAATTGGCAGAGGCTGTGTGCCCGGGCTTGCCTTGTCAGCGACATCAGCCACCTCGATCAGCGTTGGCTGAGAGCTGGGGTTGGCGGAAGCGAGTAAATAGTCTCTGAGGCGCATCTTGGTATGTTGTTTACTCATAGCAGCAGCGAGCGGCTTCAAAGTGTTTACCTCAGACTTTTCCATCGCCTCAACAGCCTGTTTGCGGCGGGCTTCTAACGATTTGGTTGATGAGGCGGAAAAAGGGAGGACGAAAACCTGGTCCTTATCCGCTTCATAGGGATCTGAAAGTGTTCTAGTGATGGGAGAAGAGACCAGTGAGCCAACAAAATAGCTGTCAATGGACTCGAGGATAACATGGCCGTTCGCACCGCCGTAGCCGAAGGAGTTGACGCCGGCACGTCGAAGTGCTCTGGGCCATGCCTCAACCTCTGTCATTACCTTCATGTTACGCTCCTTTAGTTTTACTTTGACTCTCTGTTAGCAACTAAGTTTCGGTTGATCTATATGTATGACAAAGATAAAGACAACTTACACTTGGGGTTCAAGTTCTTCACACCGTATGTAGGTGGAATCACGCCATGCTCAAAAGCAAGAGCAACCTTGATAATAGACGTCAACCCGCTGGCGGCTTCACTATGGCCCATGTTTGTTTTGACCTTGGATGGGGTTCAATTAGCATATGTGTTAATAAAGAGCGAGTAGGGAGTACACACTGATCCGATTCTCAATGGTTCACCTTCGCGGCCCGCGAAGCAGGCCGCGATACCATCCACTTCTATAGGATCACCGACTGGAGTACCGGTGCCATGGCACTCGACGTAATCCGTATCAGAAAACGAAAGACCAGCATTTTCGTATGCCTTTCTAATGACCGCTGCCTGCATTTTGGCATCAGGGAGAGTAATACCGGGAGTCTTGCCATTTCTTCGCGCTATTAGTAAAAGGGCACTTAAGAACTCAATATGAGTGACTTACGCGTTAATTGCCGTTCCCCGAATAACTGCGTGTATCTTGCGGTCACTCTTCATCGCAGACGAAAGCCTCGTGATGTAGATGGCATTGAGCGCCTCTGCTCGAGCATAACCATCCGCCGAGGTGTCAAATGTGTGACAGGCCGAAGTTGGCGAAAGAAAGCCGCCCTTTGCTGTTCCAAAATGCTGCTCGGGAGATGTAATCAGATTGGCGCCTGCAACAATGGCAGCGTCGCAATCGCCATTCTTGATGGCATTCACAGCCTGGTGGAGAGCATAGATGGTGGATGAACAAGCGGTATCAAGAGTGAAACTAGCTAATTAGACTAGACACACAATCAGGTATGGGTATGAGCTTACCTTGGGCCATGGAGGTTAAACACATGGCTAATACGGTTCGACATGATAGATGTGCCGCCGCCCGTAGCCGCTAGTCGATGAACGTAGTCTGTATCTCGAGATTGCATGACCGAATAATCCACCGTAAAGTTGCCGACAAACACTGCCGTGTTGGAGCCAGAGACATCTTCCATAGATAGACCGGCGTTCTCAAAGCATTCATAGACGACTTCAAGCAGCTTTCGCTGCTGGGGATCCATGTAAGAAGCCTCAAGATTATTGATGCCGAAGAATGAAGGGTCAAACTTGCGGACATCTTCCTGGATAAAATACCCACCGTCAACGCTCATGGCACCAGCTCTGCTGCCATCTTTATGGTAGAAGCCCTCAATGTTGTACCTGTCCAGAGGCACAGTGCATTGGGCAGATTTCTTGTTATAAACATAGTCCCAAAGCCCCGATGGTGAGGTGATTCCACCAGGGAGATGGCAAGCTATGTACAAACAGGCCATGTTAGCACGCGAAACACGCATATGAGTTTTTTAAAAGGCTTACCCATGCCAACAATACATACTGTATTGTCTTCGATAGTGACATCACTGGAGGGCCCAGAAGTTTCTTGTATATCATCATTCAAGTAGGATGTCTCAGTAACGACAATAGCCTCCTTTGTATGACTGCGAAGCAACGACTCCGAGTCAGAGAGAGCGTCTAAAGTAGGCTCAAGAGTGAACATGATGAATAAATTGTGATGATAAAAGTGTTTCAAGTCTAATGTTATGGCTCAACAAGAAAGGGGCAAACAACCGCGATCGAAATTTGGCCTAGAGATCGGTCTACCACGAGAGATAATATCTTATTAAATAATTTCTTTCTGTGCTATACAGAAAAGTATAGATATGGACTAATACTATAGATACACACCTCTCCCTTTCGCTTGAAATGCTAAATGTGCTGAGGCGAAGGGCATACTTCGCCCACCCCTTCGTTTCTACAACGCCCCAAGATTCACAAGCTGAAGAAAAGCCGTCCATCATAAGGAGATTATGCAAAGGGGGAGATTCCGGGATCCTACAGACCAACAACTGTACTAAAAATTAACATGGTTCATCTCAAAGGATGACTTAAACATTGTGTTCGCTGTTGTCTGTATGTGGTATGCTAGGACCATACACCGAGCTATACGGATTGGATAGTTCAAAAGTCCAGAATCTCGTTGCCGTGTTCAGTCCACTACTTCATTCGGAGGACTAAGATGCATTTGCCTTTTCCAGAGGCGAGATACACCGACGCGAACAAACGAACGAGGCTGGTAAGCGCTATGGGTCTACTAGACGGACAACCCGTTTGAAGTACGCCATGTTGGCTAAATAATTCGAGCGAATGACAGAAGCTATCAGTCATAAGGCGTTCATAGGAACTAGCTTGTGGTGGACGCCCAAGTCCTTTCAACGGCGCTCGCTTTGGGTTACTCAAATGGGGTAATGCCATGTGCCTAATCCGGAAATCATGACCAACGATGTGTCTCAGGAATTACATTTGTATTGTGGGGGTTGACATTAACTTCACCCAAAAAGATCTAGATATGCAGCTTATGCGTGTCATACACGCGTTGTGTGACCCACGAAGCCGTTACGGATTCTCCGCCGTGAGATGACAGGAAGCCAGGCTTTCCCTGCTATGTAGCAGCGACTTTAGGAAAAGGAGTATATCGCTTTGCTAAATTTCGGTCTTGAGAGCTTGAAGTTTCTCTAATTTGTCCTCAAATCGGAATACGCCGAGGTATCCTTCTTGTTTCTCTGACTCGGAGCGTCCATCTTCCTTTTTAGGCTCGGACCGCCGGCGGTATTCAGCCATGTTATACACTGCAACTCAATAATGTCGAAGGTACAGACTCCGTGAACGATGAGTTAGAGGAATTCCCACAAGGTAATGCAACTCTGCTAGGCATACGGATAAAATATAGGTCTATTGGCTTCAAATTGTCACATATGCAAGATAACATTACTTAGCCAGGACAGATTTGTGGGAATCTGTATATTCAGTATCCTTCTAGAAGACCGGGCTTAAATTAGGGTGCAGCTATGAGTATATTTAATTGGCACAATTAGGTAGATATAGCATTAGATCAATGAACATTATCCTGCATACATGCATAAAGAGTCACGAGTATATTAGGCTCTCGTATGGCCGGCCTCGTGTACACGGACCTTGACTCTTTGTGTTATCTACGGCTGCGTTTTATTTCAAGCCCAATTTTTACTACGGTGTCTTTTAACTCTACCTAGGTATGGATATTAATGGCAACGCGTTCATTATGGGTGGTGGTAAGCGCAATCCTCAAATCGGAGCCCAACAAGGCTCTCCAACAACAATGCTAAAAGTACCAAAGGAAGCGGCATAGGGAGGGCATGTGCCCTCGGTCTGGCCAAAGATGGTGCTAAGGGTATTGTCATCGCGGACATGAATCTTGAAGCAGCAAGCCGCGTTGCCGCCGAATGTAGAGACATAGCCACCGCTATCAATTTCCGTGCCGAGTCGCTCAAAGTTGATGTTTCTCAGGAAGAGTCCGTGGCGGGGGCCACCAAGTACATGGTCGACACCTTCGAGAGAATTGACTACTGTATCAATTGCGCTGGGGTAAGTACAACTAGTCTTGTCTGTTATTCCGCAGATAGAGAGCCTCAATGGTAATGGTCCGATGCTCTAACCCGATGGGCTTATCTTTCACAGATTGGAGTCCAATTAGCACGAGACATATCGGAGGCAGACTTTAAGGAGTTTGGACGTTTTCTCCGGATTCATGTGGAAGGCACATTCTTGTTGGTTCGGAGCGTATCGGCCGCAATGCAGCTTCAAGACCTCAAGCCGATTGATCCTGCGAATCCGGGCCGAGGAGGGACTCGGGGCTCAATTGTGACTCTGGGATCTGGCAACTCGTTTGCTGCAGCTCCTCACTTGGTGCAATATACAGCCGCTAAGCATGCGGTGCTTGGTGTGACCAAGAATGCCGGTATGTAACATTCGGCCCCTGGGAAGAATTGCCTCATTTGGAAACCTCCTTGGTATTGACGTGGGGTTTTGTGCAAATCCTTCAGCCCTCGATAATGCAGCCCATGGGATCAGAGTCAATTGTGTCTGCCCCACGTGGGTGGAGACGCCCATGATCCAAAGCGCGCGAGACGGAGGTGTGGAAATAGACAGTTGGGTCAAGAGAATGGTTCCCTTGGGTCGTATCGCTACTGCGGAGGAGGTGGCGGACGCGGTGATCTTCTTCTGCAGTCCGAGATCGAGCTATGCAACGGGATGCGGATTCATCCTCGATGGAGGAACCACGCTTACTTGTCATGTCTAAGAGGGGTGGAGAATCATGCAGTTCTCGATTCTTGGCTTGTTTTGCAGCCAATCTAGTTGGTTGGGATTCTGGCTTCAGCCTCAGCCTCACCCTCTAGCCTCATGCAAGTCGATGAAAGTAGATCGAGATAATATAGTTGAATGGGCCCTGTCTAACAAGGGACTCTATGCTTGCACATAACGGCCCGATCCCGATTCTATCACACACCGAGCCGTTGAATGTCACCAATGCGTTATGGGGGTGGAGAACCATCCTTGTGTCAATGTCCAAACAGAGACATAGCTGCATTGCTCAATTGGTGGGAGTCAAGACTCCCTGCGTGGGAGCTATTTGCGAGCAAGGTGGCTATTTAATCGACTTCATTTTGCTCTGATTCATTAATAGAATTATTCGCCATTAGTTCTTATTTCTTCCTTACCGATTAAACTCTGTGAAACGGCAAATCAGACCGCAGCCATGACCGACCAACAGCAGAGCCCGCAGGAGTCTGAGCTTCTGCTCACAAGTGCTGGATATGTTAGCACTTTCCCAGCTCCCGGACTTCGTCGCACTGTCCGACACATCACAGGCCACAATGCCGAAGGCAAAGGTGTCTTCATCCAGACTGATTGTGGTGACCACCACCGTATCATTGGCAACGAGCAGGCTCTTGCCAACATCATCTACTCAACCAAGGAGACTCCTGTCGAAATGAATGGTGATGTTGATCTCAAGTATGCTAGAGAGAACGAAGTAAGTATTATTGCGATTGCGTATTATTGGGGATAGGCTACATACTGACACCTTGAAGCCTCCTTTGCATATTCACAATGGTTCTGTATGCCGCATGATTGACTTTGCTCCGGATGTTATTTCTCCCATGCACCGTGCCGTCTCACTTGACTATGGCATCGTAATTGAGGGTGAATTCAAGCTGATCCTCGACTCGGGCGAATCGCGAATCATGCATCAGGGAGATGTCAGTGTCCAGCGTGCCAGTGCCCATCAATGGCATAACATCACTGGGAATGGCACTTTGCCGGGCCGCATGATGTGGGTATTGCTCGATTGCAAGCCTATTGTGATCAATGGCCAGGAGCTGAAAGAGGAGCTGAATGAACTCCAGCCATACTACGAGGGCCGATGAACGCACTTGAGCGGTAGTTGCTTGATGCGTATAGTATTGGCACGTGTTCACTATAAAGTTGTTTCCATAGATATCGATTTCAATGAATTACGTTGATAAAGATACTGGGTATTGTAGGTCACTTACGTGCATTTCTGTGATAATTGATACTTCTCATCGGGAATCCTATTTATTCCATACCTGATGGTTATGGATCCTGGATAGACATGAAACTCTTGCACACCACATATTGAGCCAGTCATCACTGGATGTGAGCTAAGATGACCGTTGGAAAGCTGAAGAAGACGCTCCGTTGAGATATCTCAGTTGTCATTTTGATATATAAGAACAATATGCGCGTAGGCTACCGTAGGTGTAATTTCGTCTGAGTTGTTCCCAAGTAGCTATCTCTATGAGAAGACTAAGTGAGTCAGCCGTCACTCTGAGAAATTTTAGAAGTAAACTTGTTCAATACTGATGAAAGCTATGAATCCGAAGAGGTTGGAGCCAACGTCGGAAAATTATCACCAATTTTCTTTGTAGTTTAATATTCTCCATCTAATCAATTTAAGTAGATGCATTGCAGCAAGGCACAGCCGTATCTATGTATTTTTCTTGGCCTTTGCAAGATGAGCTTCCTTCACCTTGTTCAGGTTGAATTCCCGGTAAAAGAAGAAATCCTAAAATCCGACTATTAGTTTCTTACCGTCCAGACCTCTTGTCGTCCCAACCCTTAGGAATGACAGACATACCCATATAGTCCGCCATGCGAACATGTCCAAAAATCGAATGATACCAGTAGCGCTTCCGGTCCAGAACCATGCAGCTGGGGACGACCTTAGGCTCTGAGATACAACGTTTGATGCGTATTCAAACCGACTTGTTGTTTCTGGAAGCTTGTTTCAGCTCCTCCATTTAATCAGAATTAGTTGGATTGAGGGCACTTACTGGGCGTCCTTTGAACGTGATCTTCAAATTCAGCTGCAAGAGGGGAATAGTACGACCCTTGCCGTTACTTAGCCTCTGGTGTTGCAACAATTCAAGGTTACAGTAATAGAAGTATACCTTCGGGCAGTTTTCGGTGGACATCGTTCTTGAGAATGTTGGTTCCAACTTCGCCAGAGATGACCTGGCGTGCTCATTTTGTCAGCATATGCAAACACTGAATGTAGTCAGCAGAGGTTCACTTACAGTAAGTACTTTGACGCTATATGGAGGGAAATGATCAGCAATCTCACTTTACACTTCTCTCGCGAAGGTGGCCTCACTTGAAGGGCGACATCTCTAGACGTAAGGTATTGGAATAATGATGAAGAGCAGCTTTGGATGCATTATATGATGCTTTGGTAGCGTTAGCACAAGCCTTGTATGGGCTTCTTTCTAAGATGTAGTCATACCTCCGTACATATATGGAACGACGCCGCCGATGGATCCAATATTAACAATGGTTCCAGAGGCCTGGATCAACATATCATGAAAGTGATGTACCATCTGCATTGTACCAAAGACATTGACCTCAAACATTCGTTTGACTGCATTAACATCTGTGTCAATGGCAGTCATAGTGTAGCCTATTTGACGTGCATTCACCAGTCAGTAAAATTGTCGGCTCTTAGCATCAAGTCTCTTCATACATATTCCACTAAACCAATGTTAAATCAGAACGTAGCCAGAAAATGGCAATAATAGATGGGCTAAACTTACGCATTGTTTACCAGAATGTCCAAATAGCCCCCGATAATGGAAGATATTTCTCTCTTCAGATTGATGACAGATTGTTCATCAGTCACATCCAGTGGAAACCAGGTAATCCCAGCCGCCGTGAGGTGATTGCTATTCTCATTTGGAAGTACAGTAGCGATAGCGTAGATACCACGACGATTGTATTCTAGAATGAGAGCCTCACCAATTCCGCCCTTCCCGCACCTATTGAGAAATCTCAGTGTAAATTGTATCATTCGAGGGAAGCAAATGTAGCATGGAGTGCTTACCCTGTAACCAGAGCAAATTTCTTCTCCCGGGCCATACCTTCGAAACAGTGCTGAATGGATGCTAGAACTTGAATGACACCATAAGAAAAAAGAATTCTGTTTCTTTGAAGAGGCAATTGCGCTTTACACAAATGTGATCATGCACCTTTTGTAAGATCAAATGTGAATACCGCGTCTACCCGTTGCTGGAACACGTCTGTAATATTTTTCCACTGGTGCAAACGTTTCCGACGCCACATCCCTGCAAAACTTGCAACTTATCTTTTGATACTTCTTTTTCTCATTTCTCGTGTAAATCTCCGTTCGAATAACTGTACGACTGGGGTGGCTCTGACAAGGACAAATCTAATCACGGCTTAATCTTGTTGCTGCGCTCCGTGCTACGTCCGAAATAAGCACCGAGCGGAGGCCCGCTAATCTACAACGGCTCCGGGCCGAAGCGTATATGGTAAGTCGAACGCCTTCATTGATGTCATATTGTGGAGGATTTATCTAGAAGACTAATAGCCTGACCTCCTGGGACTGCCTAAACCCGGGCTACTACATTTACAGACGCTTTGTGACTCGGTCTTGCGATCCAACCCGAAATGGATGAACCTAAGTTACTCACCAGCGCTTCAACGCTCTCCTATTTAGACACTGATTGCGTTAATACCTCCGTGGGTAGTGTAATAGCAACCGAGGTATACATACACGAAAGATTATTAAAAGCCTTAGACTAGTTAGAATGAGGTAAAAATCCCATTGAGAGCACTGGGTGTTGGATTGACATGGCTGTTGAGCGCGTGATGCGCTATTCGATTCTATGCTGTGAAACGAAGACTGTGTTTTGATCCACCATTCCACCTTTTCCTCTCCCTGACCTCTACGTCGCATTTATCCATGTAGAAGACAGAAATCCACTTTAAAGAGATTCCTGCAACTTGACTTTTAAGCTCTTCTTGTCATGGACCTGATGGCAGAAAATATGCCAAAGCCTTGGGTAGTGTTCGGGCTGGGAGCCTTGACATTATTGTTCTGGCGGCTCTGCAGAATTGGGCGACGACCAAAAAACTATCCTCCTGGACCGCCGACACTGCCATTGATCGGTAATCTTCATCAAATGCCCAAGAAAAATGCTCACTTGCAGTTTCAAAAATGGGCAGAAGAGTATGGACCGGTGTACTCGCTCATGCTGGGAACCAAAGTAGCCATTGTCTTGTCATCAGATGTCGCTGTGAAAGATCTCTTAGACAAACGGAGTTCAATCTACTCAGGTAGACCGGAGCTATATATGGGCCAAGAAATTATGAGCGGCGGGTATCGTCCACTGTTCATGGTAAGCTTCATCTACGGGTGACCTGCTTAGGCGTAGTAGACGCCTTGCTTCAACATTTTTTTTCTTGATGAAGTGACAAGCTAAATTAAAGGTAGGGAAACAATTCTGTCTGGCGCATGGTAAGAAAGCTTGCACACAGTCTTCTCAACATAAAGGTCTCTCGAACCTATGTTCCATATCAAGATCTTGAGGTCAGGGCCATGTTGATGGGCCTCCTTGAAAGTCCAAAAGATTTCCTAAACCATATCCGACGCTATACCACATCATTAACCACACAAATGGCTTTTGGGTACCGTACTCCAGCAAGCGACGACAAAAATCTGCTAGAGATGTTCGAAGTATGTAAATGATGATGGAGCAACATGATCAAACTATTATAAGACGCTGATATGGACTCACAGAACTTTGATGAGCTTTCCAGGCTGACTGGAAGCCAAGTAGGCAACTGTATTCCTCTTTTCTCTGCTTAGCTAACTGAATTGTTCTCGTAGTCCGCCGCTATCCTCGACTTATTTCCTATTGCTAGAATTTTGCCCGATTTTCTCGTCCCTGTTAGACGATTGGGAAGAAAGTACCATGAGAGAGAGAAACGATTGTTTATGAAGCACTTCTTGAATGCTCGTGAGCAGCTGAGGAGCGGAACCTCAAAAGTAAGACACCACAATCCGCAGACAACGATGGCGAAACCAACGCGAGAGGTAGCCTTGCTGTGCCATTGATCTCCTTCGGACACAAAAAGAATATGGATTCTCCGATGAGTCGGCCTGCTACCTGAGCGGCTCTCTCTTGCAGGCCGGCTCTGAAACGACGGCCATCATTTTGACTGGCTTCTTCCAGGCGATGCTAGTCTTTCCCGAAGTTGCTAAAGAGGCGCAGGCAGAAATCGATCGTGTCTGTGGAGATCGTCTGCCTGATCTAAATGACTATCCAGATTTGCCTTATATCCGCGCTTGTATGAAGGAGAGCTTGCGCTGGATGCCTGCTACTGCCCTGGGCGTACCGCATGCTGTGACCCAGGACGATTGGTACTTAGGCTATTATATCCCCAAGGATGCAGGATTGATCCTAAATGTCTGGTGAGTCTAGGGTCTCTTCCTCTCATGACGGTCGTGTGTGCTGATGAATCTTAGGGCTATTCACAATGATCCAAAGCGACACCCCGATCCACGAAGATATAACCCTGCTCGTTGGGCGGGTGACAACCAGAATTCAGCCCAAGCAGCAGTCAACCCAGATCCTACCAAGCGAGATCACTTTGTCTTTGGTGCCGGTCGGAGATTGTGCCAAGGAATGCATATTGCTGATCGATCGCTCTTTTTGGCCATGTCGCGTACACTCTGGGCATTTGATCTAAAGCGACCGGTGGATAAGGAAACAGGACATGAGATTATGCCCGATGTTGATAACATCAAGGATGGTTTGTTCATATCCCCAATGCCATTTTCAGCCGATATTGCTCCTAGAAGTCAAAGTCGTGCTGCGGCAGTCAAGCGAGAGTGGAACAACGTGGCTGAGTTGCTTGACGATGAGATGCAGTGGAAGACTGTTCCAGAAGGCCTCAAGTGGAAAGATTACGAGCCTCTAGACGGCGAAAATGAAGATTCACTTGAGTCGCTCTCTTGATTCTCAAGTGACAAGCTACTTGTGTTGTATGTTAGCAAATTGCTGCTAGAGCAAAAATACGAGAAACAGACCCCCATGCTGCATTTCTGTTAAGCAAAGGACATAACATGAGATCGCTGGATTTCTAGATCGGATATTATGAGCCAGCTTTCAAGAGTTTTTAGAGCAGCCATGAACATCATACTTCCTTGAGGATGAATTATTGACTGGATAAAGAAAGTTCCCGGTTTTATTCACATCGTCCAGTATTGACCAATTGAAAAATGAACAAAATGAATAATTAGTTCAAAGTTGGCCTTCACTGTAACTGGCAAAGACGATACAATGCCTCAAAAAAAAAAAAAAAAAAAAAAAAAAAAAAGCCGCGAATCCATCATACAAGAAACTCTAAAAACCGACATTTCTATCGCTGCTTTTCATTGAATCCTCCCATATCTAGGTTGATACCATTGCGAGATATTTTAATGATAATGCATGGGGAGTGGGTGATTGTAAGCAAAGAGATTGGACGGGTCATATTTCTTCTTCAACTGGGCCAGGCGAGGCAACTTCCTCTTGCCATAAATGTTCTCAATGGATTCATCTCCACGAGCATAATTGACGAAAACAGTCTTCTCAGAGTATCCAGATGTGGCAGCGAACTGGTTGCGCAGCTCCTCCCCGAGTTTGTTGGAAGCTCGTGCTGTGGCCTCATCGCCAGCCATCCAAGCGAAGTTAACTTGGCTATTTTATTGTCAGTCTCGACCAAATCGATATAGATAAACCTGCAATGAAGAAGAAAAGGGAAATTGAGAATTGACTTACATGAAGCCCTTGAAATCTCTCCATGGGAATGCGGTTGAATCATCAGGTACTGCAACGACGGCCTGGTTGGGAAAATTCTCAATGACAAGCGTTGTATCGCGCCCACCAGGATGGTCATATAAGTACTTTTCAATCTTCTTGAAGCCCGCCTGGTAGCCATCAGCAGAGTAAATCTTCTGGTTTAAACTGAAAAGAGAGCGTGGCTGATTGGGTTGACAGATAAACTCGTCAAAACCACTAGACGAGACTAGTTTGTTCCATTGAACAATTCGAGTAGATGAAGTAGCATTCAGATTGAACACCGGGGCCAGCACTTTGCGAGCCTCTTTCTCAGTCCCATAGTAAACCCAGTTGCCAACAAGTTGAACCTGATGAAAGAATCAGTCTAGTTTCTAAGAATTGTGGAAAATGTCCATAGTAAGACCGACAGAGCTGGTGGTCCTATTCCAGATTCCCACCATTACCTGGGCTAAATTGGCAGGCATATTGCTGTAGTTGGCTTCAACCATGTTGAAATACTCTCGGCTTCTCTCCGGCGGAAGATAGAAATCGGCGACGAAAACATTTCCGCTGTTGACCAATGGATGAATCTTGTACGTAGCAGACGTGATGACTCCAAAATTTGCGCCAGCACCACGGATTCCCCACCATAGATCAGGGTGAGAAGTCGCTGAAACTGTCATCACTTTTCCATCGGCCCCAACCATACGAACGGACTGAAGGGCATCCATCAGCAAGCCGTATTTTCCCTGTCATCATTGGAACTGCATTAATACGAAGCCATAGCCTAGTTTTAGTCACACAGCGAAAGCAGAAGAGAGTCATACCATTAATCTCCCGATTCCGCCTCCGAGGGTAACACCAATCATGGAGGGACATGAGCAACTCCCAGTTTCTATCTGGATGTCAGTGGCTATTTCCTAGAGCATCCGTAGGGTGGGTGACATCGCATACGAATGTAGAATCCATCGTTGAACAGAGGGTCAAAGATTTCGGCAAACGTAATACCAGGACCTACAGTGAGAGTCTGGGCCTTTTTGTCAATCTCAAGATACTCCCACTGACTCAAATCTAGTGAGAGTCCAAGCTGAAATTCACCAAGGCTGGCAGCGTAACCATGCCCACCCCCTCTAGTCAAAAATGGAAATCTCTTAGTCTTGGCGAGGTTGATCTGGATTTACAATGAGTAACCATATGCTGATGGATTTTGACAAAAGATGCTGGACTTACTACTTTGCCAATATCTTCTTCCGTCCCAGGCCTGATGGCAGCGACATAAGTAGGTGGATCGGCGATAGTCCAGCGCTCTGTAGAGGCATTGAAAGCAGACGAACTGGGGAATGATACGGTTGTATTGAGTGACCATTTACGAATTGGGTCGGTGAGGAGAGGTTTGAGATTGAAATTGGGTTCACCACTATAACCCTGAGGGAGGGCGACAGCATTTTCCAGTACACAGAGGAAAGCCAAAAGAGACGATAGCCGGAACCTCGCCATGAAGGGCTCATACACAAGAGATAGACAAAAATACAGTATACTTGAGCTGTTATTGATGAGATGCGCGCAGCTTAGGCTGCTTGTACTTAATATATATTTCCATTGTACGTCTAGCTGAGCTGCTGTAGATCTCATAGTTGACAAGAATAACCATAGGCCATGGAGCTGAAAGAGTCCTCCTACCAGAATAGAAGTTGTTGGAAATATCCTGGACTATCTCGTATTCTAAAATATCATCCAACAAGGGTAAATTCTTCCATGCGCCCAACTTCAGCTGATGCATTTGAATGAGGCGGAATGTTTGAGCGAATGAATGCGGCGTGCCGACTCCCTGCCCAGATCCTGCATCCTCATTGTAAACCTGTAAAGTCCACTAACTTATGCAGACCACACTTGGCAACCATCCCCTGTGTTACGCTTGGGCACATATACAGCACTGAGATACACCTCACGAAGGCATACTGCACTACTCTGGCCCGGCCCGGCACGGAGGATCGGAGCGATTCATAGCAAGCTCTCTCCGGAGTGTGCCTGATCAGCAGGGAATTCAATTTGTCAACCAACAACACATTACAGTGTTATCAAGCTTCGGGTGTTAATAAACTGCGGGGGCGTTGTCTCACGGAGGGAAATCATTCGGTGTAGGTCTATTAAGGCCCGGGCCCCGAGCTTTGATTGGCTCGGTATATTACACACGGCATATTGCACTCGGTGTATTCATAGACAACCTGCTATTTCCCGCTGAGTAGGAGTCATCTATGGTTCTCTTTAGAAACAGCGACGTCGCACATCTATTACGGCCATTCGGTATGATGTTTACGAGATTTGTCTTTAATATGACCTCTATGTATGTGATGGTGCATCGGAATTAACTCTAAAAGATAGCTAGCTTTTGGTTTCTGCGTCCTGAGTTTGTACACTTCATACCTGGGACATTCACAGGTTATTGACATGCACCCGACACCGGTAACACCAATTCACGCCACCTTATCGGAACATTGTTTGCGCAATATGTAAATATCTAGGTGCATTACATCATTTTGTGCTTCCTGTGTCACTCCTTTGTTCAACCCGGACTTTTTCGGACACGTAATTCCCCCGCCTACGGAAGGAATGGCCAGGCTGTTGGTCGGGCTTGTTGGTTGGGTGTGTTGGCCGCACGAGTATTTCTTCAGCTGTGAGTTGGGTAACTCAAGACCTTCATCGCACCGAATTCTAATCTCCCCCAATCTGCTTGGCTCAAACCAGAGTAATTAATTCAGCTGCAATTATGGCTCATCCTCAATTTTCCATTACGCCCGAGAAAGAGGCCAGCACGTCGCAGTGGCTGTATCGTCAGCTGCTTGCTAAGACGCCACCCATAGCCAAAGACGTGACTCTCGCTGGGAAGACAGCCATTGTCACGGGCTCCAACGTTGGACTTGGCCTTGAGACAGCTCGCCAACTGTTCCGCCTGGGCCTGTCCAAGCTCATTCTTGCTGTGCGCTCCGAGTCAAAGGGCCAGGCCGCTCGTGAGGAGATACTTGCCGATAAAGACGCCGGATCGGGCGAGATTGAAGTCTGGAGTTTGGACTTGGATTCATATGATTCTATCGTCCAGTTTGCGGATAGAGCAAAGGCGCTGGATCGTTTAGACATTGCAATCCTGAATGCAGGTCTATTCCAGGCTAAAGAGGCCTTTTCATCTACTGGCTACGAAAAATGTGTCCAAATCAACTATCTCTCCACCGTCCTTCTAATGACACTGCTTTTGAGCGCCCTCAAAGCAAAACCTGGAGGCTCTCCTGGCCGCTTGGTTCTTGTCTCGTCCGATACGGCAGCTCGGGCCCGGTTCAAGGAAAGCAAATCGCCACCAATTTTGGCTACCTTCAAGCAGAAGGCTGACAAGTGGGATATGCAAGAGCGCTATGGCACAAGCAAACTTCTTGGTCAATTCTATCTGACTGAATTGGCCAAGAAGGTACCAGCATCTGTTGTAACCATAGATTCTGTCAATCCAAGCTTCTGCTATGGAACCGACCTGACGCGAGATGGAGATGGCACTCTTGCGGGTTTACTCGTGAATGGCTTCAGGCGTATAGTTGGGAAACCGCCTGCTGTCGGAGCTCTCTCACTCGTTCATGCAGCCGTCAGTTTTGGTGAAGAAGTTCATGGACAGTTCACAGAGGACGGAGAAATACGGCCGTGAGTGTCCTTCCATTCAATTGTCATACAGACTTGAGGACGATACTAACTAGCTTCCCAGTATGGCTCCGATGATATACAGGCCTGAAGCAGAGGAGATTGGCAAGCAGCTATGGGACGAGACAATGGCTGAACTATCATTTGCCCGCGTGCAAGAGACTATTGAAGAGGTGATAAATTAGGTCCTCTCTACATTACAGCGATTAGTCCATTCAGCGAGGTGGCTTACGTACGGAGTACTCTACTTATCGTGTTTTTTATTATTCCCCTTGATCACAGTATTTGCTTGATGTAGCACGGATACGGATTGCAGTTATTTTATTAAGTTTTTGTCAGCTAGATGCACGTAATGTTTAAATCGCCTTCTCGTCTCTTGGCTCCCTATAGTACTCAGGATAAGATGGCTTATATCTATAATGGGAACAACATTAGTGCATGAAAGAGGATCAATAAGGCGAGAAAGTTAAACGCACCCTAACAAGCGGCCCCCAATCCAATAAGCCAGGATATACTGAACCGAGCTAAGAAGCCACAAGGGCGTCCAGAAGGGTGGTGTAGCCAGAGTTGCGCAGTCATAGCATATTAGCATAAGTTGAAACATAGACGGTGCCATGTTAGCCATTTTGCAATCCCTCTGGTATCCGATCAGGTTACGGATGAACTTTTCGTCAAAGCTGTTGTCGAGGCCTTGAGGCTCAGCCCAGACCCTGAAGATCAGGTCTTCTTGGCTGGAAGGATGTGACCAAAATTTGTGCCTACAGTGCATAATTAGATTATTTTCAGAAGGATCTCGACCGGGATATGATGATGAGGCTGGAAGGAGGCTGAAAATAGAGAGGGGGATAGGAAGGAGGAGGAGGAGCTCACCGTGTACCGGCTGGCACTTCAATTACGCCATCATCCTTCGTAGCCCTGATTTGTTTCCCATCCTTATGGATCCCAATTACCCCTTGCTCGACTTGGAAATACTCAGCTTGCTTCCAGTGGATGTGGCTTTTCGCATTCGTAAGCTTAAATTGTAAATAGAGAGTCAAGAAGAGAGGGCTTACAGGGGTGGGCCAGATAGTCCATCCTTGACCAAGGGATTATTGATGTAGTGCGTTTCCCTCACAACCCACCGGCCATCATCCTCTTTGAGAAACTCAAAGAGAGCAGCGTCGTCATTGGAGTAAATGTGCGAGCTGGAAGCGATCACCGAACGCTGCGGACGTGGCGACAGCCACAATTGCCAAGCATAGACCATCCTTTATTGTTCCTTTATGTAAACAAATCTAGAAGAACTTCACACGAGATCATATTTAATCTTCAAAAAGACCAATTAAATTGATATGCGAGGGAAGAGTACAGTAGATGAGTGAGTCGGGCATTGCGTGCAAAACAGCCGATGGACCCTTCAAAGCATATCGAAGTGGGACAAGCAACAACAAGATGGTCTGATTCATAACCCAACAATGAGAAATTTTTATTGACTGATAGACGGAGGCGGGCAAACAGACCAGACTGTGCAGTAAAAATTGTCACAGCTTTGACGCAACACGGACACAAACGCATGGCGGGGCTGTACAAGGACAGACAATATCGCGAGTCCCACCACAGCTGGCAGCTGATCCCCGACGACTCTCAAATATTGTTATTTAAGCTCCAGGTATGTCAATAGTCATCATAGCACCAGCATTGGAGAAAATCTCCGAAGGATTACATATTCACTTGATTAGGAGACTATAGTTGGGGTGAGGTGTAATGGTTCAGCTCTGTACGGATGAAGACTGTCCCCATTGGCGGCTATGCCATTGCGTGTCTAGCAGCTGATCTTCTCGCTGAATTAATCAGTTCCAGATCCCAATTGATGTGTTCCGCAAATACGCATATATATGTACGCGGATGTCGTACAGCGCGTGTCATCCATGCGTGGGATCGATATCGCATGCTGCATGTGGCTACATGTAATCTCATCTGATTCACTCAGCCTCAACGGGCCTGAAACCTTGGATTTCAATTTCCAAAGACGTCTGATAGACTTTTCTGGAGAGGATTGGCGAAAATGAGTTCAGTAAGATGTCAATACGATAGCCTTTCGGACTCAATAGTATGGATGGCTGCCTTAAAGGAAATGAACAGCCTCTATTGTACTACCCAATAATAATAATAATAATTCTATCATCACTTTACTCGTCCATCTCACTTAATCCTTCCTCCATGCTCTGTTTCTGCAATTTTCACTTCATTTATTTATAGATCATGAATTTAGGGGCATACAACCTGCTAGCCTTGGGGCTGGCGCTATTTCCAGCTCTTACTTCAAGCAGCCCTATTATTCCTTACTATTTTCAAGCAGTCGATGTCTCAAGAGCAATTACTTCGAAGCAAGTAGAAAGTGATCTCGGCAAAGCACTGTCTCAAGGGACTCTGATATTTGGCCCTTCAAGCCGCGCCTTTGCCAATGCTACCGAGAGATGGAATACGCGTTCTATGCCTGCTGATATACAAGTTGTTATTGAAGTAGCTCAAGAATCTGATGTAGCAAAAGTGGTAAGCATGTATTTACAAATCTCTCGGGATCAAACTTGCTAAATTTGCCTTCATAGGTGAAATACTGCTACCAGAACAGCATTGACTTCCTTGCGTATACTAGGGGCCATGGTTCGACGAGCACAGTTTCCAAGTTCAGAGGTATTGAGATTAACCTGTCGAAACTCACCGAAATCACAATCCAACCCGACAACAAATCGGCATTACTTCAAGGTGGAGTATATGCTGATTTGGTCATCAAGACAATTTGGAATGAAGGATACATTGCTGGTAAGTAATTGATCATATCCGTTCAGACACACTATAATGATTCCAGTTACTAAAATGGATACCCCATGCCGTTAGCTACAGGAAGCAATGGCTGCGTCGGTTTCTTTGGCCCAGCTTTAGGAGGCGGCCTTGGCCGATACCAAGGCCAATACGGCCTTATTTCCGATAACTTCGTCAGCTTAAATGTTGTTCTGGCTAATGGCACAGCCATCACCGTCAATGCTGCTTCCAACAGCGATCTTTTCTGGGCCATGAAGGGCGCGGGCCATAATTTTGGCATTGTTACCAGTGGCTATATCAAGATTTATCCGAAAAAGGCTGACACTTGGCACTACCATAACTACGTCTGGTCACAAGACAAGCTTGAGAAAGTCTTTGCGGCACTGAACAAGTTCCAAGGGACAGGACAGATTCCTACACTCATGGGCGTCAACTTTGGCCAATTCTCCATTGAACCAAATATTAGTAGAACAGAGGTGAGCACACGATCAAAAATTACGATGCCTGCAGCCCAAACTTACTCTATATAGGCTGTTATCATCTGGTCATTTGCATATGATGGCCCAGCTGCTGATGCTGAAAAGCTCTTGGTTTCATTCAACGCAATTCCTGCCATCTCAAGCACCAAAGGCGATGTGTCTTATTCCGAGCTGCTTGTTGCGCAGCAAACAGATATAAACAGCGCATCCTGCTCTTCACAACCATATGTTGGAAGTAATACGTGGCTTCAGACTTACAACATCACTTCTCAGCGCAAAATTTATAATCTCTTCAACCAGCAAATCGCAAAGAATCCCGGCCTTGCTCCCGGCGCCCGCGTGTTTTTTGAAGGTTATTCTAGCAAAACCACTCAATTGATTGATCACGCTTCTTCTTCCTATCCTCATCGCGACGAATACTTGCTCGTGTAAGTGAACTACAACCCAAAATGGGCCCATTGAAAGCATTAAATTGACGATTGTATAGCTTCTTCGCCGTTGCTACTCCGCCAGATTTAGAGACTTTTAGTCGATCTTGGGCTGATAAGACGTTGGCTATATGGCGTGCGGGCCAGCCTAGTCGTCGACCTGCAACGTATGTCAACTATGCCGTGGGAAGCGAGCCTCTCGAATCTATTTACGGCTATGATGGTCAGTTGCCGCGACTACGAGCTCTCAAGTCCAAGTGATCCTCTCAATAAATTCAGGTGGTACAACCCAATTATCGCCTACTAGAAATGAGGCATTGGACATGGATAGCGTATATGAAGCTTCTCTATATACATAGTAATGCAGGAGTAGAATGAATCAGGAGGGAGAAGGCTATTTGGGTAGTGCATATATAGGTAGTTGCTCTTGTAGATGATGGCACAGTCCCTAGATCCCGGATGCAAATGTATTTGGTGGATATCACAGTCTATGAAACTAGCTACTCTTGCCAGAGTCCTCCTTCAATGCTACAATGCGGTTGAGGACAATCTTCTCATCAGTGCTATCGGAGTCAACAGCCTATCGACGAGTTAGTAAACGGTCTGTATAATGAACTATGAAGCAAGTGGAATAAACTCACAAAATAAGCAACGCGCATGGCCTGGAAACGAATAGTCTCAGGGCCAACCTCGCCCGTCTTCTCACCCTCGGCCTCAGGCCATGGTGCGCGTCGTTTTACCTCGTGGAAGCCGGTCTCGATCAGTGCGTTTGGCCAGATCGTCTCGCTGTTGGGGTTGACATCGCTCAAGAGTCCTCCAGGAGCAGAGCCGGGGCTGTCTGACTTGAAGAGGGCCTCGTGGATGCGCACTTCAGTAGGGAGCGAGCCTTCGGACACCCACTGGATATAAGTCTTGGGCTTCTTGCCCTCCTTGTCGTAAACAGCCCTGATCTCCTTGATAGCGCCTGTAGTTTCGTCCTTGGTGAAGGAAACAGCCTTGATGGGGTGGGGAACGTTCAAAAGACCGACAGTCTTGCCCGGGGCAAGGCGGAAGTAGTCTTTGCTGTCCACTTCACGGAAATCTGAGCGATCGATGTAGACGGTCTTGGTGAGACGGACAGTGTGGGATCCAAGCTTGGGGTCTTTGGGAGAGAAGGGGATATCAAGGTCTTGCTCTTCGCAGTCTTCAATTACCACCGGGACTGGGTCCAGGACAAGCATGAGACGGGGAACGGTACTTTCAAGATAGACGCGAATAGACTGCTCAAAGCGCTTAATGCTGACCTGAGTGATGGAAGTGGTGACACCAAGCTCATAGATGAAGGATAGAAGGGCACCTGGCGGGATGCCTCGTCGTCGGATTCCTTTGATGGTATACAGACGCGGGTCGTCCCATCCACGAACAACCTTGTTCTCAATCAGTGTTCTCAGGCCTCTCTTGCTCATGATTGTTCCGCTGAGATTTAAGCGGCCGTACTCGCGCTGCATGGGCTGAAATTCCACCAGGAGCCTGCGTCCAATTAGTGCCAGCCCAGGCAATTAGGGATACATTGATCAAAAACTTACTTGTTTAGCCACTCATAGCTCTCTCGTGACATGATGAATTCGGTGGTGCACAAACTGTGTGTAATTCCCTCGAAGCTGTCGCATAAGCAGTGTGCGAAATCATAGGTCGGGTATATCCGCCACTTGGTGCCTGTCCGGAAGTGCGGTTCCTGATCCTTGGGAATTCGGTAGGCAGCGAGATCCCACATCTGAGGGTTCGGGTTGTTCTCAATATCCTGCTTCATGCGAAGCCAGGCGCTTCTTGGAGCATATTCTCCATCTCTCATGCCACGGAACTTCTTGAGGTTGGTCTCAACATCCTGTTTCGCATGCTCGCATCGATATCTTGGGGACAAGCCGTCCTCGCCACCTCGCTGTTTCTTGGTCTCGACATCATCGCAGTGGCACACATAGGCCTTTTCCATCTTGATCAATTCTTCGGCGAGGTCGTACATTCGCTGGTAGTTGTCGGAGGCATAAGTGATTTCAGAAGGAGTGAACCCTAGCCATTTGATCGTGTCCTCGATGGCGACAAAGTATTCTCCCTTTTCGGCGTCGGGATTCGTGTCGTCGAATCTAAGAATCTAAGGCCAATTAGTAACTCGTATGTTAAAAATGTTGGCAGGGGGGGCTTACAGTTCTGCCGCCGTGGAACTTGGCAAAGCCAAAGTTGACAGCAATTGCCTTTGCGTGACCAAGCTACCCGTCAAAGTCAGTTATCCAATGCTCCCTTGTAGCAATCATGATTCGATAATTACATGAAGGTATCCGTTTGGTTCAGGAGGGAATCGCGTCACCACCGCCTCGGAAGGTCGCAGCTTGTAAACGTCGCCGAGGAATCCTTGCTTGAACATGGCGTCCGGATCAATCACGCGCTCCTCGGGCTTAGCAGCCGGCTTGTTCGCCTCCGGGTTGCTGCTCTTCTCCTTCTGAGCATTGCTGCGAGATGCTGCTGCATTGGCCTTCCTGGCTCGCTTCTGGATGCGCTTCTTCAGCTCGTTCTTGGTGACCATGTCGCCCGTCTCCTCGTCAAGCACCAGCTTGGCCACGCCCTCGGCGACCGCGTCAGCCATGTTGAAGATGCGTTATTGTGTCGTAAGATCGTAGAACAAGTCGGGTATCTGATATGCTATGGTTGAACGTCAAGAGAGAATCGAGCTGCGTTTCAGACTGTTTTATCAATGTCTGATGATGACTCAGGGCTGGGAATGTCAAAAGTCAAAGAAATGAAGGTGCTGCCCCTCCATGGCACGTGTGCCTGTGCCCCTCTTCGTAGCAAGATAAGGCTGATAGCACCAAAAAAAAAGCTGATGACATAAGCAGATTTTTACTCGACTCGCTGGAACAATGTGCGCTATAACGGTGGCCGTGATGGCCCTGTAATTGAGCGCTGAAGCGCTACAGGTTTCATTCGCGGATGGCACACACTTCAGCACAGCCATGATGATTCCAATCTTCACGCACCGACATCGCAGGCCAGTTACAAGACACGCGTTGAGTCATACATAATCACATAGATCATTATCGATGCGATATTTCTTACATCTCATTGGGCAGTCAACAGGAGAATGGAATTGAGTTTGTTCTTGACTCTTCATTGATGTCAGCTCTAAGCCTTCGATAAGCGAAAACATCTTGATGTGAAGCTGTTAGAATCGAGGCTGAGGCAAAGCACCGTTTTGCTTCTCGAGATACCTATCGAGATATCTTTTTAACAGCTTGCAGAATGAATCATTTGATAAGCTCTTTTTTTTCAAGCATCTAGCTCACAGTCACTTCTTATTCCCATGATGGGACACAAAGGAACCATCGCTGCCGCTCTCGATGCTTGCCCCCTCCCACACGGCAATGACATCTCTCACAGCGGCCTCTGGAGATGATGGGCCATTAAAGTCGGGATTATACGTAACAAATTTTTGAAACATCTCCCCGACTTTTCCCATTTGCTCTGGGGTTGCTAGCAAAAAGACTCGTTGTTAGCCAACGTAACTGATTAAGGTAATGGCGAAGAGGACAATGAAGATACTCGTACCATTATTGTAGTGGCCAGTATCGGACACGCCGGGGCTGATGCTCATAAACAAAACGCCTTCCTTCTTGTATTGAGCGTGAAATTTGCCGACAGCAACATTCATGGCAGCCTTGCTGATGGCGTATCCTGGGGCAACCTGCAGCTCGAATTTGTTGGTTGAATCCAGATCCGCCATGCCAGTAGACAAGGAGATGACCTTCTTTTCATTTCCTTTGAGGATGAGAGGTATGTACAAGTTAAAGAGGTGGATATTAGAAACAAGGTTGACCTTGAAAGACTTGAGTAAATCTTCCTCCAGCTCTTTGGGATTGTTGCCTCTACACGCAGTGTTAGGATATTGTGGAACCGTAATTTGCCGTGAACGGGGACAGTAATGGCTTACAGAACTCCAATAGGATCATAGGCATCATATTCTGATACGTATGCCGCGTTTGCGATGAGATAGTCGAGTGTTCCGCCAGTGATTTGGGCAGTGGCAGCCACAGCAGTCTGCAAAATACAGTGTTTAGGAATTTGGTGTTGAATAGAACTGTCAAGATCGACATCCTCTGATACTCACTTTGACAGCGTCATAGTCTGTAATATCAGCCTGCAAAATGTGAACGTTGGATCGTCCTGGTAGCTCTTGAGCTATGGCCCGCTCGGTCGCAGTCTTGTCTCGAACGAGGCCAACGACGGTGTTGCTTGGGTCGCTAGATAATTGGCGCACAAATTCGAGCTATTGAAGTGTTGTCAATTAAAGTTCTGATTTTGATTCCAAATATGTGAGGATTAGTTACGTACCCCCAGGCCTCTAGAGGCACCGGTGATGATATAAGACGGCATCTTTATACGGAATGAATGGCGGGATTGAAGGAAGAAGAGGGTAGAATAAAGTGTGAGAAGATGATTAAGAGATGCCAGAGTATTTGGTGAGATGTATGGGCCAGGAGTGTCTGATCTAGGGCAGGAACTATGAGGATAAAGCTGCTGCTTAAATATTTTGACTGTTAGGCAGAGGTGGGTGGGCAGTGGGTGGGCGAAATCCAGAAGAAAAGTTACATGTATGTAAACAGACGCCTAATATTCGCTATTTAATGTCTCACCTAACCATCATTGAGCATGGACACGTCTGTTAGTAGGGGCTGTGTAACTGTTTGAGATGCTCCCAGAAGATATCAGCAGCTCTAGATCAATCTCTGGACTGGGAAGGCTAGTCGAGTTTGTGAACCTGATCTTGTGAAGTGTATCATCAGAAGTATATCTTGGTGAATCTACAATGATGGTTTCGGATACAGATAGTGCTTGTGTCATCTTCTAGGCGATATGGCTACTGCTAAATATTCGACAAACCCCGAAAAGTCCCAACCATCTCATTCCACATCCACTCAGCTCTTCAGACCATTCACAATTTTTGACGCGCCTACAAAATTTAGCTCTTCCATGGTCTCTTCCCAGAGTCTATCTTTCAACTCCTGACCCTCTGGAGTGTACCAAAGCTTCGAATATCTACAGGTACACATATCAGTACGCGCAGAGGCCAGCTGTCAGTCGAAGGGTAATACTTACGGCTTTATAGTCCAGTCACTCGTGAATGAGCCTTGACTTTTCTCTCCTTGAACCAAAACTGCATCCAGATATGTAGTAGCAGCTACATTCACCGGTCTAGCCAGAATCCATTGACCGACAGCAATCAGCTTCATCACCAAAGCAGGATACCCACGGAAGAAATCAGTGCCGCTCGTCATGCCGGGGTTCGACACATTTACGAGGACGTCATTGGGATTGACAAATTCGGCCAACTTGGAGATAAATATCGCTTGTAATAGCTTCGATTTGCCATACCAAGAGAACTGGCTGAAGCTATCTTCTTGTTGGAATGGCGGTAATACCGGCCCTTTGAGCTCGACCTCATGCTGATACATTAGATCTGAACCCACAATACTAATAACCGGTGGCCTTGAGCCACCACCAATTTTCTTTGCTTTGAGAATGGGAAGAAGCAAAATGGTCAAGAGAGCCGTCGACAGATAGTTAACCTGCAGCGTGACTTCGTTTCCTGTTGCCTGCACGACAGTATACGGCGTCTTGATAAGCCCAGCATTAAGAATCACAATATCGATCCGGTCCAAGCTCTCACAACGGCTGGCAAAAGCACAAACAGAGTCATATGATTCCATGTCGACGATCCAGACGGATATCAGGGCTGAGGGAAAGCTTTTACGCAGCTGGGCCGCCGCCACATCACCCTTGGCCTGAGAGCGGACACCCATTACCAGGTGCGATAGCCCCAGCTGAAGCAGCTGCTTGCATGCCGAGAGTCCAAGTCCAGCATTACTTCCAGTGACAATGGCTACCTGACCGTCAAGCGTTATTCCTGCGGGCAAAGGCTTGAGTTGAGTGAATTGGCGCCTTAGAAAACCCAGAGTAGTGGCCTCAAATGAAGCTTCATTTTCGAGTTGGCTTGACATGGCTGGCTGGATTCAGCTTGAATTTTTTTCGGTTTATCGATTGAGATCAATTTGTTTAAAATGAGAAGAGATGACTGCCCATCCTTGAGTCCCATCAGCTGAATGATAAAATGTAGGCTTCCGAACAGACGACATAATGGCAGGAATATTCCCTCGTCAATTCACCACACACACGAAATTCTGTACACAAACAAATAATTTAGATACGTCGTACAAACTCACCGACATGATTTACGGGCCGGTCTTGATCAAGCCCTAGCCCGGTGCAAAACCAGCGCTGAGATCGCAGCCTGGCTCCAATCCTGCCGCAATATTAATCCAGCCCCTCGTGTTGGAATGCAGACAGCTTCTGAAATGGCTGGCGGCTTGTTATTTGTTGGCTGAACTCGTTTTCTTGGTAGCAACGGACAGCCCGACCCGCCCCTGTGGAAGAACATCAACCAACAACAGCGGACTCGACGGATTACCGAGCCGGCCTGGGTTATCCCGACTACGTGTTTGTTTGCATTGGCAATGGATCCAATACTTGCAATCAAGAGAGGCTATCGACTGGCATCAGAGAGATGGATAGATGTGATTCTAACGAGCTGAAAGCTTGTTGCGCTTCACCCGACGGCCATGGCGTTGGTTAGCCAGCAAACAGGGGGCTTGAAAGGATCGCAAACGGCTTGCCACCTTGCGCCGACTCCGTTTCGGAAAACAGAGGGGTAAAATCTGCAAAATGCCGTTTCGTACGATAACCAGAGCGTCTGAGTGCGAAATGAGTTGGAGTCTTACCGCATAGCAGACATCTTCTCCCAACCAAAGATCCACCACCTTGTTTGTAAGGATCAGGTGCTCTGCGTCCGGATTCTCAGACAAGACATGCGAAAATCGTCTCAAATGCTCCCACAAATGATTATAGCGTCTAGCAGCTCAATATATTCTATTTCATAGAATCTTGGAGCCTTTCTCGTGTCGGAAAGAGACGGCTAGCACCCCCCTGATAGTAGCTCCGAAGTGCCGGGTCTATCGCCTCCCACTATGGTCTCTGAACCAAAGCCTTTGCAGTATGGGAGAAGATCTTCTCAGTCTCTGCAGCCTGAAGCCGTATTGAGCCATGATCTTCATGCTTCAAACGATTTAGATGTGCCCCTGCAAGCCCAAAACGAGGAATCTGAGAAGGCTGAAGAAGGAGAAGACTACATGACAGGATTCAAACTATGGCTCATGCTACTCTCTCTCGTCTTCAGTATTTTTCTTATTTCCCTGGATATAGTGAGCCCATCTTTGATTTCTTCAGCTTATATCTATCTGACTCGTTTCTTAGACTATTGTTGCTACAGCAATTCCGGCCATTACGAATCAGTTTCATCGCCTCGAAGATCAAGCATGGTACAGCGCAATCTACCTTATGACATCCGGCGGCTTTCAATCGACATGGAGCAAGATTTATCAGTATTTCCCACTCAAGATTAGCTTTCTAGGTGCAATGGCCGTCTTCGAAATCGGATGTCTCATCTGCGGCGCGGCCCCTTCATCTACTGTCTTTATTATTGGCCGCACAATTGCGGGGATTGGAGCAGCAGGCGTGAGCTCTGGCGCCTACACCATATGTGCCTACATATCTGAGCCCAAGAAGAGGGCAGTGCATACTGCTATTCTCGGTGCCATATTTGGTATTGGCAGCATCCTGGGTCCTTTGCTGGGGGGTGTCTTCTCCGAGGAGTCTACTTGGCGATGGTGAGTACATGAAAGATCAGTTCACCTACGATGAAGTTAACTGTCTACCAGGTGTTTCTACATCAACCTTCCCATTGGAGTCCTCCCGATCGTATCAACGATATTGTTCTTCAACACACCGAAAGCCGCAAAGCCTCGGGAAGCGCCGATGAAGGAGAAATTACTTCAACTCGATCCTCTCGGAACGATAATTCTGATGGGAGCCATCATCACCTATCTTATGGCTGTTCACTATGGTGGCCAGATAGATCTATGGAATTCTGCGCGTGTAATTGGTCTCCTTGTAGCCTCAATTATATTCTTCATCATCTTTGCGTTCATCGAACGTTGGCAGGACGAAAGAGCCATGGTCATTCCCAGGCTATTTGTGAAGCGAGATATTGGTGTTGCACTCTTCTATACCTCTTTCCAAGGCGGCGCACTCTTTTCTATGATCTACTACTTCCCGCTCTACTTTCAAGCCATACGCGGCACTGATCCAGTCATATCTGCTGTCCACAACTTACCGTTGATCATTGCTGCCATGGCTTTAGCCATTGGTTCTGGCATCTTCATCTCTAACACTGGTTTGGCCATACCTGTCATGGTTGGTGGATCCGCAATAGCAACACTTGGATGTGGTCTTTGCTACTTGTTCGATCTCAATACTAGAGCAGGTGTTTGGATCGGAATCCAGATCGTCGTTGGTATCGGTCTCGGTTGCGCATTCCAAGTGCCCATCATGGTCGGTCAGGTTAGCGTTGATGTGACCGATCTACCAGCCGCGACAGCCATGATTCTGTGCTTTCAAACTATCGGCGGTGCCATCTGGGTATCGGCATCGCAGTCAGTCTTCGTCAATAGGATGTTGATTGCTGTGCCACAATTCGCGCCTGGCGTAGATCCTAAACAAGTCGTGAGCACCGGTGCAGGAGAGTTGCGAAAAGTTTTGGATCAGACGAAATACTAGGAATCCTCTTGGCTTACCTTACTGGTATCAGAGCAGCGTATTTACTATGTTGTGCTGTAGCAGGTGCTTCTCTACTGGTTGGAGTTTTCCTGCCATGGAACAGGCTTGATACAGATGCTCTAAAGGAGGCCGGAGGGGCCGCAGCATAGAGTTCATACTGTGTCTAATGGATTATAGTGTTAGAGAGATAATGATGGTGACAATTCACAGAAGGATATGGAATATTTGTTTATATGCCATATCACTACAACCATGTTGTTCGTCCACTTTAGTGACTAATGATCTCTCCATGAAATTTGTTTGTTATTCGCTTTGCTACTTACAAAGCCGCAGAATCCTATCCATATTACACGAGGCCATACGACTTAGAGCTGAGAAGAGGTTTCGTCAAAATTAATATCTGCTCCGAATTCACCATCATCTATGCAATCAATTCTCCTAGCAGCCGATCTTCGACGCAGAATCACCATCTCCGAGGGATCATCCCCTCCTCTTGCAGCACGATAAGCAGATGTAGACCTTACTCCGCAAGTCTGTGTCTCGTATGGCGAATGCAACCGTCATCGGGTCATTGTTCTTCGGGTTGCCCCTCAATTAATTTATATCCTTATATCTGATTGGCATTTTCAGCTTGTGAATGAAGTCGTACGGGCTCACAATTACGCGGCCAGCGATAACACGGCCATTGGCATGACGCCAATTCCGCCAGCCTTGACTGTCAGCTGCAAAACGCCTTTCAGATTGGTGATGAGGAGAAGAGACCGACATGCGGCCATTATGCCGTAGCCCGGTAACGTTACGGTGAGGGTTCATCTACACCTGTCCAATGCCGGGATTGCCCAGTGAAACACATTGTCCTCTGTACAACTCGAGGCCTTGGCAGCTGAAAACCTTCTCTAGATAACAACACACCAAATTGGAAGAGATACACGCATTAGGTAGGAACTTCCCCTTATAACAAATGAAGAGCCGCAACGCCAGCTATTTTGCTAATGATAGCCAAAGTTCTAAACCTATCTAATACGTATACAGTTACTCTATAGATAATCTTCCCATCCTTTCAGCTCTTGTATGATGTTTGATAACCTCTGCTCCACCGCAGGCAGAAGCACGTCATTGATGTCGTGTTTCTTGAGTCGTGCCACCGCGGCCAGGAGCTCCCTGCATCGTACCAACAATGACACTCGTAGGATATGTGCCCACTCATGTTTCGACTCAACGTGATAGTCTCCAACGTTGCATAGCCTCGCTGCGTATGAGCTTTCGTCCTCAACTTCCTGCCGTATCTGTCGGATGCAGCCTGCTACGCCTCGTTCCAGATAGAGTGAGAGGCCTTCTATGACAAGCACTATCAGCTTGGTCGTGGCCCGAGGCGTTTGGCTATGATCGCAAGAGAGCCAGGAATTGAGCCGTGCCAAAGCAATCTTCTGATATCCCAGCACACCGTCGCTAGACACCTCCATTTTGTTGTGGTATTGGAGCTCCAGCTCCTCTAGCATGTGTAGTGCAGATTGGGCGCATGCACAGAGGTCTCCGTCGTTTATTGAAGAGCCATCCTCCTGACACAAGGTTTCTGCGGTTCTGTGAGTATTGCGCGGCGGTATACATGATTGTTGACTCTGTGAAGGAGAGATGCTGCTGGTCGAAGTAATACTGCTGAGGTCGCCAAGGGTAGAGTTCAATTGATCAAAGTCTGTTGAGAACAAATACTTGACGTTAGCTGGCCAGTCTATATTCATCCAAACCACCCAAACACTCAACTTGGAACATACCCAGAGTAAAATTGTCGCCCAAACTGGCGCAGTGTAATGAAAAGTCTGAAGGACTAAAGTCTAAAGAGGGCGATAATCCTGAACTCAGGCCAGTCGTAGCAAAAGGATGCGTATCGCGATTAGACGCAGAAGCAGACGAGATGTCGTTCTCTCCATTGTTGGGGCCCGTTTCATTGATTGGGATGCTTTTTCGACGGTCATGACATTCGGTTGGAGCAGAATTCTTATGCCTCTTGGCGCCGCGTTTGGATCTCTCTGGAAACACGCATGTAACTCCAGTTCCCTGACATCTCTGACAGCCTGTGGTTTCTCCCGAACATTTGACCTATTTTCACTGGTATTAATACCACGCATGCGCGCCTCATTTTGTAGGATGAGGAGTCAAGTTACACCTTTCGAGCACGGCATTCGATGCATGCAAGCCTTGATTGCCGATATTCGCCAAAGGTATGATTGCTTGCCATCTTGGACACACTTTCGGCATCCGCAGAGTTATTTGTATAAGAGATTGTGTAGAACATTTTCCCTTTTGTTTCTCTTTCCTGAGTTGAGTTTATTTTGGTTAGAGTCTCGGTATCTCAAGGTTGGAGTGTGCGCTTTCATAAAGACGGGAAATTGAGCTGCGATCTGACAATGATGTAAATATGAACGGAGAAAACAGGCGAATCATCGTTCTTGGAAGATGAATGAATGGCACATGGGATTAGTTCAAGTGTGACTTAAAGGGTAATTTGAAGGTGTCCAGAACTTCCGTATCACCGAGGCGGCAGATACCTATTTTCTATAAGGGATCTGGTAGGACGTCACAGCCGTATAACAGATCTACAATAGCACCTCCTCACACTCACCCACCTCTCTCCAAGGGATTCACAGAACAGGAGGGAGCGACGACGCCAGCCACATACCGTTATACTATCAACTCTCAACTCCTACAGGCTACTTGCATTGTCACACGAGGCTTCCCTAGTTTCCACAGGGACTATCCTAGTGCTCACCTGCATGCAGCCACCTCCAAATCCGAATCGAAATTACGATGGTCTCTTCTGGGCATTCGTACGACACTCTAGCTACTCACCATAAGCACGTGATGGACCCTTCCTAAGGACCGCACATGAGCGAGCAGCCACAAAGAAGCAGTGGCTTTTCCGGGGTTACACAACACTACCAACAGAGTCTAGATCTACGGCATTCCGAAGCCCTTGATGAGCTACCAAAGTTTATTACGAGGGGCACGATATCTAGCATGTGGGAAATCTGACGCTTGGACAAAGATGGGCTGGCTCAGCCATCGTTTGTAAACTCAAAGAAATAGCGTGATATCGTTACCATATTAGGAGAATCTCTTCGGCCAAGTCAGGAGCCAACCTTGGCAAATCCTGGCTGACGACGTAGGATCTGAGTGTTTGCTGGAGTACTGTCAGATGGATCCTTTCTACTTAAAGGGTACCGCCGGAGGCTTTTCCCAATTTCCAAGTGGATTCATTTTGGACCAGAAGCCATGCGACTTTCAGGGCACAGATGCTGCCCAAACGTCAATTAGCGCATGAAAATCCCCGGATGAGTGCATTGCAGAGTGTGGAGTATTCCAACGTTCCACACGTGAAGCCTCAAATTCGGAACGTTGATGTCGCCGAAGAGAAATGAAGATCGTTAGACGAGCGGTTCAATTTGGGTAAATTATCACTCTATCTAATTCATGCGTCTCTCTCCGTTTAAAGAATCTCTCACATTGCATGAAGGCTGAGAAGCAATGATCGAAGTATTAAACTAAAAATAAAAGGGAAAGCAAGTTGCTTTGCACGCTATCAATCTCTCCATCATTGTCGTCTAAACAAAGAGTGACTGGTCAACAGTCCAATGATGCTATCAGTCCAGTAAATGGCTGAGACATATTAGCTAAGTTTCATATCTCATGTCATGGGCTTGTCTTTCTCAAAGACACCACAAATGCTGTGTTACGGGGTCTTGTTCATACAATCCAACCCACCCTGCTCTTTAAGCTTGCGTGATACCTCATCCAAGCCCGTCCTTGTCTTGTAAATGCCATCCAAAGCACCAACCGGTAAGAATGAACCAATCCGCGCCGCCGTGGCATGCTTGCCTTTCCAAACCCAGAGGGGCGGGTTGGTTTTGCTGATCTCTTTGACGACATCCTCTGCCCATTTTATCGGATCCGCACCCGTAGCAGTTGCTTCCTCTCCCGACATCCACTTCTCAACCGCCTCTTTGGCAACGTTATAGATTGAGGTGGGTGGCAGCGAGATATGAGGTGCGTTGGCATGGAAAGTCGATTTAACAGCGCCCGTCACCAGGTTGGTCACCTTGACGCCAAAGGGGGCGAGTTCCAGTCGTAGCACTTCACTAAAGTTCGCTGCGGCAGCTTTGGAGGCGTTGTAGGCTCCCGAGAATGGCATGGATGCGTGAGGTAGTGCCATGCACGAGGTGTTGTTAACTACCAAGCCACCGGTGGACGACTTGACAAGCAGTGGGAAGAAAGAGCGCGTAACAGTGATGAGAGAAAAGACGTTGAGTTCGAATAACTGCCGGGTCTGGGCAATGTCAAGATCCATGACTGGCATCGAATATCCGGCGCCGGCATTGTTGATGAGGACGTCCAAAGAGCCACCGGTAAGCTCTGAGATTTGAGTCACACAGGCTGCTATAGACTCGTCCGAAGTTGTGTCAAGCTGTACAATCTCAATACCCGCATCTTGGGCCGTCTTTAGCTTGGTCAAGTTACGGGCTGAGGCAAAGACTCTCCATCCACTTCTGTGAAAGGCGCGGGCGAGTTCCGAGCCTAAGCTCCCGTCTGAACATCCGGATATAAGCACGGTTCGCTTGGTGGCCATTGCTATACGTGGTGATGCTATTGCAATGCTGTGTATTCCCGACTCTTCGTTCTCGTTGGTGGCTATGATATGCGTGGTGCCGCAAGAGGTTGAGGACTGAGTTATGTTCTTCGTGACTCGGAACTGAAGACGGCTCGTTTATTATAGCCTAAGGGAGCAAAACTGGGCAATCCTTGAAGATTTGAATTCTTGTTAATTGATAATAGGCACTGTGAGATATTAACATTTGACCAAAGTTCCCATGAACAGGTATTTAAGTTAAGGCTTTTGTTTGCTGTCAGTGAAGTGTCAAAGAGAGTCTCGGCATCGTAATTGCCCCGGTCCACATTCGTATCCCTGCTTCGGACAAGCCAAAACTGGCCTTTGACGAACCAACAACGCGATTTGGTTGGTCGCCGCTAATACAGAGCCTTGTGGTCCATTTGTACGGACACTATTCGGATCTTTTAGTCCCCGCGCGGGTGCTCCATACCTTTGGCTTGTTGGTCGAAGCCTTCTTTCATCCTTTGCAAATCGGAGCAGAGACAAAGATTCCGCTACGAGCGCCACATTGTTCCGTAGTCCGGCTGAGGTAACACAGAGTTGAGGCAAAACTTTTGCGGCACAATATGAAGTGCGAGGGACATGTGAGAGTCCGTCGGCGGATTGCGTCAAACGGCAAAGTACACCCTTGAATGGCTCTAGCTAACCTAACGCACCATGCATTTATACCGTCATTTACTAGGGTAGCAAGAATGGCTGAGATTCATCTGAAGTTTAGCATCTACGATTGGGCTATACTTTCATTAGTTCAATATTTCAAGTTTAACTGCGGTAAAAGGCGAAATAAGTGTCGCGTGTGTTGATAGATGCCGAGTCTCTATTAATATACAGGGGTCTGTTTTGAGTCGCTTTGTGGCGGTGCATCCCCTGCCGTCACCTATGCCTCGAAGGACTATTACAAGGGGAATGCTGGCCAGCATACCGCATCTCAAATTTGAAACTACTTGTTAAGTAATAAGCAACAATACCACAAGATAGAGAAATGTAGCTGCAGTAGCAGTTATTATAAACTTACAGCGATAGAGAGATAGGAGCAGATATTTAAAGGGCTGCGATTACTTATAGGTACCTAGTAGATAAGAAAAAGAACATGAAGCTTTTCTTTCATCCTATTCTGGCATTGCAAGCTCTTGCATTTACTGGGGTGCTGGCCAACATACCTCTATACAAAGGCAACATTAGCAGAAGAGCTGACTCCGGTATACTATTTTAATACACACGATTGGATTCTTTCCCTTAAGAAGGCCGCTGCAGTCTGTTAGTTCGATTACATCTTCACAACAAAGACCGGGCAGACCGGGCTCCTGATCGCTGGTTTAGCGAACGCCTGACAGAATCAGTCACGTAAACGCAACAATATTATCGCTGAACGTATCCAATTCCATCACAAGCCAGTTCCCTGATCTATGGCCCATGGGTGTTTTCGGTATATACATATCGAGAGAAGAGTTGCTGAGTGGCCCATCGGCTCTTAGTATTTCCATTGCGAGACCCATTTTGATGATTAGATGCATGCATAGAGCTGATTCATAACAAACTTGCACCACAGACGTCGTCCCGAATGGTTAAAACTCCTATTTAAAGCGCGTGGAATGTTTCTTTTCCATTCCTTTTATTATAAACGAATTCTGCGATCTACATAGCTTGCTATTCGCAAAGTGTTCTAACCGCTCATCAATTAGCGCCTACAACTTCGGCTACGTTGATTTGCGGGGTTGAAATATTGCTCTCCCCGCACCTTTTGCAGACAAGCCAACAGTGAACCATCATCAAATATTTATCTTGAAGTTGATCCGCATGGTGATACTTTAATTATCCTTCAAAATCCACCGAATCATCCTTCCTCTCCATCTGATACAGGTATCTCTCTCCCGATCAACTTTAGGTAGACAAATCAAGCATGGAGCAATAAATTATAAGGCCCAGTTTTTCTTCTTAACCCATTAAGAGGGACCACTATCCACTGAGCCAGCTACCTACTGTTCGATTGACCAAAAGGTTGACTTTTATATAGTAAAGGAGACTACCTCTGAGAATCAATCTGAGAATCAATTTCTTGTTTCGAAGAAGCATCTTATGCTAGCATCTCCTCGCGCTGGCAAAGTGCTTGAAGGATCTTTCAAGGAAGGCACTCCGAGGGAAGATGGTCTCTTTCGCTGGAGATTCGAACCAATATTCGACCCAAAGGCTTTCGAAATTGTAATGAAGATTATTCACGGACAGACACGTGACGTTCCTATGCAAATAGATCTTACTTTGCTCACTCAAATAACCGCAATCGTGGATGACTTGGAATGTCATAATACCCTTTGGTTCTTTGCAAAACTTTGGTTAAATCAAATTAAAGATCGGATCCCATCCGAGTTTTGTGAGGACCTTATGAGATGGATCTTGATTTCATTTGTATTTGAGGAGCCGGAACTTTTCGAAAAGGCAACAACTACCGCCATAGAACATGGCATAGATGATATGCCTAACTTCAATCTTCCTATACGTCCCAAAGTCCTTGGTAAGTTGCAAGGTCTCTAATGAGATGATATACTGACATAGATAGAGGACATTGGGGCGAAAAGAGAAGAAATATTCGGTAATCTGTTGACCCTCCTATACCACTTGGAAGAACAACTACTTGATGAATCCATCGGGTGCAACAAGGGTTGTAGGGCCATGATGCTCGGCACATTAAGCCAGGGGCTAAGGGCAGCCTCTTTATCGCCTTCTCCCTCCCCGCCATACATCTCACTGAGCATCAAGCCAGTTCTTCGACAGTTGAAAGCAACTGAATCACTGGATTATTATTGTTCGGAGGGGGGGAGATATGCCAGTCCAACGAACTCCGGAATTTGGACAATTCAGAAGTTACCTTCGCCAAGAAAGCAGAGTCAAAGTGTTTGGGACCAAGAGAGAGAAGAAAAGGTACCTGGCAATTTGGTTCGCCATAAATGCCTCTTGAAAGATCATCTCAGCGGACTATTAGTTTCTGCGGATTCTCAAATTAAGGGCCTAGAACTATCCAATTATTTGAGTGTATAGCCATTAAATAATGAGATGTATATAGTGATTGGCATACTTATTACATCACAGCTGTCTCCATTCATCTATGTTATAAATCGAAATTGCTGCTTAAAGTCCCGGAAGCTACGAATGAGGAAAGAATATGTTACGCTCCGGTGTGGTATCTCTCATAGATAGTTGGATTGGCCAGATCGATTGATACACACCTGGCGGATCGGTCAATATTTGCCTAGTGGCATAACAGAATGACAGACTATAACAAATAGTCAGTGAAGACGGAGGAAAGGATGAAAGTGACATTGGAGGTGTCTGGGTATGTTGTAACAATTTCATTCCGAGTACAGAGTACAGTTAATATTTGATATGAATCACAATACGAAAGCCGCAATAGCCACAGTCATGCTCTGTAGCTGCTTGTTGTAGTTATCCATAGGTAATCTAGCGATACTTATTTCGCCTTTTACTGTACTACCCGCAGCGATATGTCACGAGATAGACACAAACTGGGATAGAGAAGCATTCTTGTCTTTGTTGAGCGATCACCTCTCCTACAAACAATAGTCCAGTTTATCGATGGATTGGATTCTGTAGAATATCATGTTGAAGGAGCCAGTTAACCAACAAGCTTGAGTACTTATATCCCAGAGAAATACGGGTCATTAAGAGCGACCCTCGGCTTCCAGAAAGATTGATGTGTAAATGCATAAAATATAGCTTGGTTGCGATCGCATGTAAAGTTGTATTCGGTTCAACTATCGCTGTACATTTTATTTTCAGCGCCTCAGCCATCTTACATCAATATAAATGTCATCACGCGCCTGAAACAAGACAGGTAGTACAGAACACGAGGTCGAAAAATAATTATAAACCGTTGTATAAAAGCCGTCTTGCTACATGTTGGACACTAGCCAAACGATCTAGCTTCTATTTATCATAAAGGTTGGCACAAAAATTCTAACCCTTGTCTCCTCAGCAGCAGCAGCAGCTATGGGTTTTGGGTAGTTCTCATAGATTCCTTGCATAATGGCACTATACTCCTGCAATTCAGGCATAGTATCACAAGCCGCTATACTAGCCGCTTCTTCCCAAAATTGCTCCCAATCAAAGACTGTTCCTATTAGCCAAGTTCAAATCCAGTAGCAGATACACGAACCTGTAAGTAGAGGGAGTTCGGGATATATAAATTGCGTAGGAACGTGGCGATATCGGGGAGCAGCTATTGCAACCAAATTTGCTGCTATGGGGGTTTGAAAATCAGGTCCAAACTGACGAGAGATTCGCAAAACTGCCGACATTGCTCTTTTGCTCATTTCACGGCGTGTTGATATGTCGTAATGGAAGACCTTACGCATTTCAATAACAACGTCTGCCCAACGTGCAGATCCTGGTTTCCAGTCTGCAAACCCTCTGAATTCTTTTCGGATGGTATACAAACCATCATTGACGATGTTCTGTGCTGAGGCCACTTGGCAACGGCCTTCAACCTTCAGCGCCCCTTGTGACAGGTACTCTCCAAAATAATAGTAGCCTGAAGACCACTTGCTTTTCTTATTGCGTAAATGTTGGTCAACAGAACGAAAGGCACGCACGAGATCCAAATCTCGCATGAAGGCTCCCTTTGGAAAGATTGCTGTATCGACGACCAATAATTGTATCTCGTCCAAAGTTGCTTCAGAATGTATGGCACGAAGGTGGAAGATATATACTAGTGCAGAGAGCAAAGAGCTCGTCCATGACACTAGATTATCATGGGGATTCTTCCACCACTGAAGATGCCTGCTCAACATGTCTGCTGCGCGCTGTTTGTTCTCTATAGAGAATATGTCTTCCGAACTACATGCCAACCCCCTACTGGCGGCCCTAGATTTCACCCACTTCGTGTCAGTTGCGCCCTGAGAATATGGACTGAACACTCGAAAGAGGTATCGCGGTGTCTCATGAGCATCATTCGTTGAATTGAATGGTAGATATTCAGTTCTTTCAAGATATGCATTGGTTACTTGTAGTCGTCGTGACACATCGCCCTCTTGGATTTCTTTATATGGCTATTAGCATCGCTCCCTTGTAAATGATGGTAATTGGAATCTCGGAACATTTAGCAGCAGTTGTACTTGGCAATTATGAGCCACTGAACTCGCGCGAAAAGTAATCTCATTGGTCATTGGCTAGATCGCTAATTCTACAAGAGAACGGATAATTTCGATATCACGGTTGGCGGACATCGGACTGAGTACTCTTAATGCGACGATGCAAACTTCAAGTTATTTTGCGGCTATTCGTGTCAGGCAAATCCCATCGAGCGTGTAATCGTCTTTTCGCAAAGGCCGGTAGATCATGGGGTCAATTGTCGATTTGGATTTGAAGGCAAATGACCATTCCTAGTTGGAAAAGGCCACAGCCAAGGCACAAGTAATATATTATATATGGCTCCATATGCATACATGGCGGTAACAATGAGTGTGCCTTTGAAACGGCTGTTTGATCAGCACGCGATCCTACATCTGACATGCACATACATCCTATACGCCTAAAGCTTCTGACATGAGAATTACTCTACACACCTACCCAGACTCATTTTAGCAACGTCGATTTATCATGGAGAAATGTATAGAATATACGTCTGTAAATGTCATTCGTATAGTATCTATCTAGAGCATCAGCTAGTAATTATTATTGGCCCAACTGTAACAAAGACAAGCACTCAGTATATATGTAGAGAGTCGGATATCCCACTCAAACAAGCTCTACATCAAAGCCATCCAATCTAATATCCTTCAGCAAGCGCTCCAGAGGCTGGACATATGTGATGTGCCCATCGATTGCGGATTGGGAGCCGCTGCTGCCCGCCGTTATGATTCCGGCAGGACGTCCTTGCATATCCCAAATGCACGAACCAAAATCACCCACCCGTGAGAAAGAGTCTTGGCGATAATTCTCTGCCCAATGCTTGGAGTGTGTCATGGTAGTTGAGATAATCGCCCATTCTTCACTGATTAATTCTGTTTCTCTGCCTCCTTCCGACATCTCGGTATGGCGAACGACGGACTTCAAAGTGTTGCCAAGACCGAATGACAATTGTCCGCTTGCTCCGTATTTGCCTACCAATAGTCCTGACTCATGAACATCCTGAGATTCTGGGGAGATAAAGATTTCTTCCATAGGAACTGCGACTCTCTGGAGCTTCAATTCGCCATTTGTGATCAATGATTTCCGTAGATCCATGAGTCGTCGCTGGTATTGCTCTCCATTTCGACGCATGCAGTCACGAATACTGCTCTCCGTCCCCAGATAAACGATATTCTGGATTGAACTGAGGGCAGCTTGGTGACTATTTGGCAGTAATTCGATTAAAGCCCAGTCTCTCAGCCATGTAAATCCGGAATAATCTGATGCGACCGTAAATGCGACCGTAAGTTCCGGCGAATAGAGGAGTCGGCCAAACACTCTTGATGAAGCGTCTATAAAGGACCGCATGGCGCGTCCAAGAACCATAGCGTTGTCGCCAAAGTCAGCAGGTGAAGCAGCTGCATGAGTTTGGCCGTCTTCAGAAGACTCGTGGCCAGAATTGCTGTCGCTCTCGCTTTCCTCCTCAAAATTCCAGAGATGGCTCATATAAGTGCGCCGGTCCATTTGGATGACCTCCTTGAAGGGCTGAGATTTTTGGTATTTTTGCGTCCCCTCTGTTTTAGAGTCAATCATCAGATGCCTACAAGTTAAGGCTATGACTTGAGGTTCGTCTCCAGAGCAAGTCGGGCGGATGGAGAGGTATAGGCCCTTGGTACTAGATATAGGTACATTATTCATCTGGCTCGTGGCTATGTTGGCACCAAGTCTGTCAGTTAGATCCTTGAGTCTATGCGATTTATCCTCGTTTTTGGTTGAGACTGGCCCTGAAAATAGCTGCAACGTTGTTGGGTCGGAATCAGTCTCGACTTCAGAGTCGACGATGGGATAGTTCTTCGGCTCCCCCCCCNCCCCCCCGGCGCGGAAGTGAAGATCTGCTTCTAGTATCTCGCAAGGCACGTCATGAATACCGTGTTTGTCCAAAATGGATTTGCATCGTAAAGCGACGGGATGCCCGTGGTTCCAAGTGAGTGTGCCTGGCCTGACAGCTACCATAAGTGTGATTTGATATTCTCCGTTGTGGCCGACACGCAGAAAATCAACAGAAGTCCAATCTATTCCATTGATAGCTTGCAAGATTTGTATTCTGAGAGAAGATCTGGCATCATTCCATAGCTGATGCAATAACGGGTGTCTTCCGACTGTGTGAAGTGTTTTCGGATATAGTGAAGAGGGCAGCGACGGATAAAAATAGTTTCTCTTAACATTAGGCTTCTGTCGATCGGTCCAGGCGTGTAGGCTTAAGCGTGCGACAAGCCTTAGACACTGAACAATCCCATAGTAGTAGTATTCCACCTCTACAAAATCTGGGGCGGTTGGCTCTGGCATCGTCATCTTGGGGTATATTGCTTGGAGGGCGTGGAGTTGAAGTACTTGTGCGAGAATTTTGGTTTGACTGTTGAGGTGCAAAGGGCAATCGGTGATTCATTGGGGGTTTGTATGCCTTTATGAGTATTTCCGGAGGCTTAATGACAAAAGATATGGGTTGGCAAGGTTTATTCCGACAAAGCATAACTACAGGGTACATACATACCTAGGTGCGTATAATGAGCAACCGTGGAGCATACCTAGTAAGTGTCGCCTGCAAACTTTCCTCCCGTATTTGACATTAGATTATCACATTTTTCATTCACATATTCTCTATGGCCCAGATCCACGCCATCTAACCGCCTTTGAGTATCCAAATGCTACAAGAAGTGTTGATAGCCTAACGATGGGAGCCGAACTGGATATGGACTTTGGAATGGAGCTCCTCCAACCGGCCATTGTGCTGGGCTCCGATCGAAGAGCCTACAAATTATTAATAGGGCTGAGATAATGCCACCTCTCCGGGTTTATTTAATGTATATATTTTTAGCAATGTGATTTCATTGTGGATGCTTAACGTCGATGGCTTCCACCAAAAGGATTGCCTTTAATGCTCCCTTAGTCAGCGCGAATCTGCCACTTAACGCGTCGACGCCAAAGCTCTCCGCCAGCATCTATCTCGACCCCACCAAAGCTCCCAAAAAGCCCAACCTCAAAACACGGGCTGCGACAAACGCGCCCGCGATGCAGACTCGCCATGTCCTACTACGACGTTGACGCCATTCTCACCGACGGGGAGGTACATGAACCCATCATTTCTATGTTCTGAAAGCTACACAATTACAGGAAATGAGGCTAATTCAGCCCACAGAAAATCCCCTGTCGATTCGAGCTCGACGTGCCTTATCTCGGCCACCTCGACAACTCCAATGGCCTCAAGCCCGGCACGCGTCTAAACCTTCCTCTATGGCTCGCCGAAATGTTCGCCCTCGCCTCTGCAGGAGAGGATTCCAAGCCGCCTCTGACGCTAACCCTACCGCCCTGCCTGTCCGAACAAGTGCTCGCCGCGCTGAAAGCCGATCCGCGAGCAGTGCCACTGCGAGATCAGAGCGCATACTTTTACGGTGTAGCGGTACGAATGCTTGATCTCTTTGACGAGAGGGAACTAAGCGCCATTCTGAGGACAACGTTTGTGGTGAGGGCGGCGGACGTGGGGCTGCATGCGAGAAAGGCCGAGGAGTCTGGACTGGGAGGACAGGGCGAAGAGTTTCTGCGGGGGCTTGATGAGTGGGAAAGACGGCTGTTTAGGAGAGGACACGAGGGCGTCAAGGGAGCCAAGGAATGGACGGACAATGTGAAGAGGTCATGAGGCTGGAGAGACGACTGATGGCTGGTTACAACGATACCCTGGGTACAGAAGAGATGGCGTTTTGACGCATGATATACAAAGACTACCGCCAAGGATACATGGCTTGGTTTAGGGAAGCTTGGAGGCATACTCGTACCGCAATGCGACTTTGCAGGAGCTTAGCAACAATTTACATGGGATTTCTAGCTCCAACTCTTTTTTGTATGAATAATAGATTTGTCGCTTTCGAGAAAGCAAATACATGGTCAAAAGAAATTCTCTTCCATCTCAAACTCGCTCAATCTCGATTATGCAGAACCTTATTGTCCTCCATAATCCAACTCGGCCATTCGGACCTACAAAGCCAGATAAGCACCGTACGTCTAATTCCAGAATCTCACCCTCAAGTACATATTCAAAAGGCGGTAAACATAATCTTATTAAGATGCGGTGAGTCAAAGACGCCGACATTCTAAATTTAAGCTACCTATCCAAATGTAAAAAAAAAGGCATCTTTTAATACATCGGAAAGTACTCGAACACCAATTTTCGGTGTCTTTCCAGGGTAGCACCGCTGATTGTCGGTGTCGCTCCACCGCCATCACATGTTCCCTGAAGAACCAAGCTTACACACCTCTTGTAAGAATACATGTAAATGGCGATACAAAAGTTCAATAGGCACCTACAAAAGTCCAGTACAAGAGCATGTATACGATACTTCCATCCAAAGAGGCGGTAAAGAAAAGGCAAAGAGAGAGAAAAGAGAAAAGAGGCTCAACACACCCATTTGTACCTCACAGCAACCGTTGGGTACTACATACCACACACCGCAGCACACACACACGCCTCACCATTATAACACCTCACACTGTACAGTACCAATACATCAAATACCCATGTCCACTGCCATCTGTCTGTCTGTCAGTGTAATTCCAGTACAGCTCAGCCTCACCCAAAAAACCCCCATCCACGAATCCCTCACCCAAAAATGCCAACTCACACCACACCCTCCCACACACCCCCAAAAACGCCACCCAATCAAACCTCCCACTACATGTACATTTTCCCATGTCCCAATCCCGATCCCCTTTTACCTAGGTTTAGTATTACGCATTCTTATTTTTTTTCCTTTTTTTTTTTTTCTCTTTCTCAATCAAAAAGTCTAAACCACAGCAGGGCTATCCCTGCTACTATTCCCGCTGCTCCGTCTCCACACCGATCCCTTTCTACGCCCACTAAATATTTCCCGTTTAGGAACCACCTGTAAGAACACCTCGCCTTATGTGAAATCTGCTGGAATTTTTTATTTCAGTCCCTTTCTGCAGAAGTACTTACATGTACATTACATTACATACATGCAGGCATACGTACATACAGGTGTCTGCACCATCCACTCACCGCCGTAATATTGAAAAGAAAAATCACAAAAGGCAGAATTTGTGTGACCGCTATTATCAAAAAAGCGAGAGTGTATTGTCAACCTTGGGAAAAAAGAAATATTCCTAGAATTCACAAGCCCAATCAAGTTCCAAAGCTTCAAGCATAGTCGTCCGTGTCCTGTTTCTGTGTCCCACGATAATCCGACAAGTGCACCTCCAGAAAAAATATCAGTCTAGTGTCTATCCCAGATGCACTTTGTTTCCCAGTAACACCATGTGCCCTCTGAACAATAATTCCAATCTGAACAATAATTCCCACGAAAAAAACAAACTCTTATCCATCGTCTTATCCACTGCATCCATACAGTCTGTTCCTCATATCCATACATCAAAATTCCAAAGTCGCTTAAAGAAGTAGACAACAATCCCCCCTCTTCATACATCGTTTGTCAAACGCAAACGCCTTCCCTTCAGTCTTAGTTCTTCGTGATCCGTGAATCGTACAATACCTCGCGCCTCCCAATGCTGCAGCACATGAGTATGCCACCAAAAGATCTCCACGAAGGAGGTTGAAAAAACGTGAAATAGCCACCGTGTGCGCTCGGTGATTCCTGTGTAGCTGGATCACTTTGATCCAGTTGCTCGTCAAAACGTATCCCGACGACATTCGTATAAAACACAGTGAACAAGTAAAACAAAAGTACGCCCCCAAACAAATACAACAGATGTAAGCAAAATAATGAAAATGGTAAAATGAGCGTCGGCAAGTTTGATTTGGCAACAGCAATAACGCCAGGTCCTGTCTGTATCTTCCCTCCCTTGTTGTGTGGTATATTTTTTTACCATGATTTCATAATGTTAATCTTCTTTTTTGGTCTTTGTAAAGGTTTTCAATGTTCTTGTTTTTGTTTCTTTTTTCAGTTTTTTAAATTTCGGTCCAGAGCAAGTCGATCACATCACATCTGTAAGTGTCGGTCATGACGCCACCAGATAGACACATCCATTCATCAGCATCAGAGGTGCGGATAATCCAAGCCAGCATTAGAAATGGTGTCAAACCATGCGGCATCGAAGATCAAGTCATCCACCTGCTGAAACACAGATGCCGCAGAACCTTGCGATGTGCTAAGCACGTCAATGTCACTATCGTCGACAGCAGACAGCAAGGGGAACTGCGGATCCTCCTGAGCTGGCTGGCCCACGTAGCCCACTGTCACGGTAAAATCACTTTGTCTGATCGTGTCAGAATCGGCGCTCATGTCCGTAGTGGACGCGGATGTTTGGGAAAGAGACCCTTCATCTGGAGGGTCATCGCCCGTAACCACCGAGGCAGGCCCATCGGCCGCGACTTGAATCTCGGTAAACCATGCCTTGAGATCATTCATGGGAGGCCAATCGCCGCCTCCCTTGCCGCCCCTCTTCTCGCCTATTCCCATGGCGCCCTTTCCTCGGCTTGGCTTCACTCTGAAGTGAGTGCGTCGAAGGTGGGCTGCCGCGTTGTAATAGGCGTTGTACTGCTTTCCCGAGGTGCAAGACTTGCATCGCGCAAGGGGGTTGAGGGGCACGAGCTTGGTGGGCATGCCGCTGTCTCTCGGGTCACGGCAGACAAACTTCTTGACCTTTTGGGAATGCTTGGCGCCGATGTGGCGCCTCAGCTCATGATCACCTCGGAACCCATTAGGGATTTCGTTGCAATATTTGCAGCGAAGTTTTGGGTACTTTGGCTTTTGCTTGGCCTTGCTGTCTTGCTGGGTAGTGCGCTTCCCATGAGTCGCTCGAGGCAGCTCTTGGGATGGCGGCTGGGGCATGGGGGCAATCGAGGTCGATTGTGCCTGCAAGACCACCCTCCTTGTAGCCTCCCTAGCCCGGTTTGCCAAAGAAGAGGTCGACTTGTTGCTGCAAGCCGAGTCTCCTCGTTCCATGAGAGCGGCCCCGGGAGTGGTGGGATTCATGGAAGCGGGAGTAAAGGCAGGGGACATCAACATTTGATATTCCAGGGGTGGGTATTGCATTGTGGTGGGATTGGGGAAGCCACAGCCCACTGCCAGGAGATCTTCGGGCATGTTGAATACATTGGAGCAGTCTGACTGCTGGAGATTCGTTATGGTATGGTCAGAGAGCGAGTCGGCGTAGGATGCAGACGAGGGCATCCTCGTTATGTCCACGCGGGGGCTGGTATGAACAAAGCTGTTCTCTCTCGTCATGGGAGGGGCCTGCTCAATGCCCGTAGATGTCGTGACCATGGAGGGAGTAGCTGATTGTCTGCCCGCAAACATGTCGTAAAGGGGTAGGTTGGTCCCGGTGGACGACAGGTAGCTTGGGCTCGGGGCCATGTTGGCAAAGTAGACCTGAGGGGTCACGCCAATGTCTGGAGAAGAATTCTCCTGAACTTGAGCAAGAGGGGCAAAAAGCATCTCATTGCTGATGCGCCGCCCGGTTGATGCAGAGGGTGTCGTTTGCCTCTGGTGCATGATGGGCTCTGAGCGGATGGATAAGTCGCGACACATGGTAGCGGGCGCCAGCGAATAATGGGCAGCCTGTGATAGGGCTCGCCCCTGCTGGGCAAGAGAACCGTGGTAGTTCTGTTGCTGGAGAAAGACATGGTCAGCATGCAGTCCATCTTGCAAAAAATGAAGTCGAAAATGAAATAATTTGTAAAGTTGTCGGCTTGTGGTGCAACTGTATGAATGAAGCCGCAATAGGGGTTCCCTGTCATGGACACTGAGAAACTCACATTCATGTTGGCACTGTATGGCAGCGCGCTGGCCTGTAGAGCAAAGTCGGGCGAAACCGGCAGCGCTCTCTGTGTGGATGGTTGAAGCGGCAGCTCTCGTGTGCTACGGGTAAAGGCAAATAAATTCATGGTGCTCTGCATCGACTTTGGAGAGGGCTCCATGTTATCGGCCATCGTGTCTGGCAGTGTGTTTAAAGGTGTATGTGGGTGGTAGCTGGGATGTCTATTGTAATTCGACAT